TTTTTTTTTTTTTTTTACAACTGCTCCTGTAAATCTGCTATGTAGTACAGACAGCACCATCTGCTACCTCCTTTCAGTCCAGAAGTTCTGTTACGGAATGATTTATTCTGTTTTCCAAAGGCCCCTTTAGAGCTAGTGACATTGCAGAACCACATTTCTACCCATCCATCAACAGAATCTTTTAATTCCAGTATCTTCGTAATTTTTGAAATTGGACGGTAGTTTTCTGTACCTGTGCCTCTGTCAACTTTGCATTTTTTTTTACAAATTTCCACAGAAAAATCATAATATGTTGCAGAAAAACATAATATGTTGTAGAATTTTAAAGACTAAATAATTTACTATGAAATTAAACTTTTGTGGGCTAGGTCCCCTTCATCAAATGTAGGTTTTCTATTAAAGTAGATTTGTACTGCAACAAATTTATGCCATAATGAAATATTGTTAGTGATTAAGGTAATATAAAATGTATTAGTTAATGAGAGTTCTCCAGATGCACCATTAGTGCAAATCAAAACAGCAAATCAAATTAGTTTAACAACATAGTTGAGAATCCATGTTATCCATACAGTCGTCATCTACCTCCAGTGCTCAAAACATAAGGGACACCACAAATTCTCCCCATGCCACCCCTCAGTTGTGGTCCACTCGTAGCACCACTGTGGACTTAAAAGAGAATATGTAAAGCAGTTGTAACAAAAGACATAGGGGCTGGATCATTTAATTTAATTAATTAGAGGGCTCATTCCTCTAATTAGAAAAAACCTAATTTTTCCTTGTCTCACTTCAAGCTCCTTCTCTCTTTCTTTTTCTCTCTCTAATTCCAGCTCTTCTTCCTTTCGCCGCTGACGTATATCTGCAGCCTCATTCCGTTCTTCTTCCTCAAAGAAATCTTTATCGAGGCGCTCAAGGTGTGGGAGGAGTACCAGGGCTTCTATACGGTATTCCGACTCATCAGAACAAGGATTGTCTAACATGATCAGGGCTCGTAACATAGGTAGCACTTGCAACTTTTCCAGTTCCTGGATTTGCACAACTGCATTTCCCCTGTAGCAATGGGAAAGAGATACCTGCCTTACAAAATATCTCTATTAGAATAAATAATAATTTAAATGAAGCAATAATTCCAAAGAGAAAGGTGAAGAATAAATGGTATATTTTTTAAAAAAAGAAGAGAGTTCTTTCTGAGCTGTTCCTGTTTAAAATCTTTCAGAAAGACATCTGGTGTCAGAATCTTTCCATTACAGCTATGCACAGAACAGGCTTTGATTAATAATAATAATAATAATAACAACAACAACAACAACCTATGAATAAATAATGATTGTGAACTGCACCTGTTTAAATTACAAATCTCACTATTCAGATAGGGTAAATATTTTAGAAGCTTAAAAAACCTGCTGGCTGCTGCTATTTATTTTCTATAAATCTAACATTCTCATCTTCACACCAGAATATCTTACATCAGATCCCACTAGTGACCTACAGCATTGTCTACAATCATCCAACAGTCGGTGTACTGATGTAAATGTACTGAGAACAGGCTTCATATTGCCTCAATGATGTCTGAGTGATGCTAGGAATATGTTAGAAGTTACTAGCGGGAACATGTTATGATTATGCTTTAAGATGCAAAACGAGAATTACGGCAAGTTGATCTCTTGAATTTCATTGATCTTAACATTTCATTTTGAACAAAAAAATGTCATTTATTATTACTTTTATATTTGCTGTATGATTCAGATGCCCCTTCTGTGCCCTTGCCCCATCTCCTGCCTTTTGGGGGGGGGGTGAACTCAAGGCATATATAAAGCTCCCTCTTATTTTTCCATGCAACAATCCTGTGAGGTAGGTTGGGCTGAGAGAGAGTGAATTATTGTTAAACTAGAATCTGGTGTCCCCATTTCTTGTCCAATAACTTAACCACTATACCATGCAAGGTTGTCCCTGTTGCTGTGATCTATTACAGCAAATGTTATAGGAGTAATGTTCTGAAATGCTTTTTTAAAACCCAAAGACTGGTATTTGCAGTGAAGACTTGGTTTAAACATAACCTCTCATATCATTTACTCTTTATTTCCAAGGTGACTTTGACATTCTATACAGAAGCCCACCCACCGTAGGTTGAGGTACTGAAGAGATTTCATGTTGTTTGAGAAGCCATCCAACACTTCAATCATATTGTCACGTAGGTGTAGAGTTGTGAGTTGCTCCAGATTTTCCAGGTCCTCTAGGTGAAAAATAGCATTCTGGGCCTAAAAAAGAGGATGGTATGCTGTAGAAAACAGAATATTAGATTTCAATCGAGAGTACATTCACCCAATAATGAGGAATAAGAGACCCTACAAACTAGTTATCTGTTTGCAATTAATTAATTTTAGGGGTATATTTTTCCAAAGGTTCATCTTGGCTTTATAACAGTTTAGGGGAAAATTGAGGAATAGATGGAATGTAGGAATGTAGAAGTAATTCTACTTCTATGGCTTCAGAATCAAGTCAGCATTTTGCCTCTCTCTCCCATAAACCCTTTTGTTACATTTTGCCTAATTAAGAGACCTGAACATCTTGACACTTTGTGTATCTTTGTGATCTAAAATGTAATAAAAGTATTGCCCTAATGTGAATAAGTATGCAAGAGCATAATCACATTCTTGGCACATGATTTGCCACAAATTGAGTCATCACTAATGTTTCCTCCCCTTTATATTCCCCAGTGATCAATTTTAATACTGGCATTTTGTTGTTTTTCTTCAAGGAGCTCAGTGTGATTTCTGTCCTCCCACCTTTTTTTTATCCTCACTACAACACTGTTAGACTGCTGAGAATATGGCTGCTTTGTTCAGTGAGCTTCATGGGAGCTAGAATGGGAATCTGAATCCAGATCTTCTGAGCTCATTATAAAATCATCACAGTGCATCAATAGAAATCAGAGTCAAGACTGGGAGATTGTGCACTAACATTGGACCGTAATTCTACATTTTAATGGCTCAAATCTTATCCACTTTGAAATACAAAAGACCAGAGTATGCAATTTAACACATCTTCTATTTAACTATATTACCCTGCCATAATCAAGCATAAATTGTGTCCCTGAAGCTATCTGCATTCCAAAGAAAATCTCTGTTGGGGATGGGGCTTCCCTTGAAGCCACAGCAACTTGAAAAAATTGATTTTAATAAGGCAAAAAAGGGAAGATTTTCATTTACGTGCCCTACCTTCCCATACCACCAGCGTTTCTCAGGTTTTTCTGCAGTATAATTATGAAGTTACCATGTCTACTTTGACACACAGTGACAAGGGTGTTTGAGGACAAGTTCTCTTACCAGGTACAGGTTTTTGAGCTTGGGCAAGTAGAGTCCAGCTGTAGACTTTAGAGCGTTTCCTCGCAACTCTAGTGTGTGCAGATTTGACAATATATTTGGATTCAGTCCTGATATTAGCTCAATTGCATTACCTGGATATCAGAACAATAGGCAATTATAAGAGAATTAATTTGTCCAGGATTCCTTTCCTACAAAACATGAAGTGAGATCTTTTCCTCTAGGTTCAGGGGAATCCTTGAATGTATACCCACCCACCTCTCAGGTTAAGGCTGGTCAAACGTGGGTGCACAATGCCATTAGAGTCCTTGATGTGGTTGTTGGCAAAGCTTGCAATCTGCAGGTATGGCAACTCTTCTATGATGGCGCTGATTAACCGATTATTATCCACTTTCAGCCACAGCAAGTGTGTGAGAAATGCCAATGGGGAGAGGTCACGGAGCAGGTTGTCTGACAGGTCTACATACCGTAAATGGATGAAATTTTGGATGAGAGTGATATCTGTCAGTTCTCTGTCACAAAATGAGGGAGGGAAATTATATTATTTCCCAGTTGGCAGCTTTCCAGTGCCTTCTCTGAACATTTCTATTCCATCGGGAAGTAGAGTAAAAAATCAGCAGCCCGTGGCAAGCCGACAGAACTCTTGGAAAATGGAATCAGGTTTTGACTTAGATACATCTATATACTTACTTTTCTTTGACCTCTAACTTCACAAAGGCGTGAGCAAGGCCATTGCCAATTTTACATAAAAGTGAGAGGCCATCCTTCAACATCTCCTCAGTGAGAGGGTTTGAAACCTGGGGCTGGGGAGGGGCGGAGAGCACAGTCAAGAAAAGATACAAGAAAATGTTATCAAGTCACAGCAATCCTTTTGTATCCGTAGAGTGAATGATGAGGCAATGGCTATTTTTCTCACACACTCCCTTCTACACTTTTGCAGTCTTTCCTTTGTGTGTGTGTGGTGGGAGTATATTCACTACAGCAGACAAGCTGGGGATTTGGGAGAGAGAGTAGAGACAAAAAGTTCAGGTGGAGATGAATAAACTAAACTATGGGTTGTAACGTGGCAATTTTATTTAAAATTAAGGTCCGTTATCTCACTCAGAAGTGTTCTGAGACCTGTTTCTACTTGTCCACATACATACACTTTATTTCTATAAAGGGTTAACTTCTTCACTGTTTCTTTTTTTTTTTCAGGAATTTATTTAAAAAAATTTTAGAACAGAAGTTGCTTTAGGCAAGGAACTTGTTTATCTTTTGCAAAGAGCATCCTGCATAGGCTATATTAAGAGCTATATTAAGTTCTTTTAAATCCCATTGATTTTAATGGGCAGGGAATTTTTTTTCTAGTATTAATGTAACTTCAACAAATTGTCTACTGCCTGCCTGGACTGAGGTGCTGTATAAATTCCATAAATGAATAAATAAAGGAATTGTCCTTATATATTTTTTTGAAAAAAGATAATAAATATTAACATGCTTTACCTCTTCCTCTTCTTCCTCCCCTTCCCCTTCCCCTTCTTCTTTCTTTTCTTCAACTTCTTCTTCGGTATCATTGGCATCTTCAGGTTCCTCATCTGACATTTTCCAAAGTTAATGCTTTCAGGCTATAAATAACAAATAGATTGAAAGTGGATTTTAGCAACTGGCCAGAGTCTTCTCATTTCAGTTGAATATGAATTTGGTGTCAGTGCTGGTGTGAAGGGCAAAATGTTCTCATCTCAGGATGCCATTATGGGAGGTGGCCTGGAGATGCTTTTAGGAAATTTTCTGCATTTCAGCTGGTCCTTTTGCATACCAGCCTTTTGAAGACATTTTAAAACGAAAACGTCTTCCTGGCAGCTGTCATGGGGACTAGAATCTTACCTTGGTCAGAAGCCTCAGAAAAATCTATTGGAGAGCAACTAGGGGGGTTGAAGTGACAATTCCTGTGAGGCCAGCTGCAAAACAGGAATGCAGTTATGAAACCGTTAACAAGAGCTTCAGCGACGTGTTTCCAACAGTCCAACAGCAAAAGGGTGTTTGAAGAAACAGAAGCCCTGCACCCGTCTGCTCCCCCTAAAAGTGGGAAAACGGACAGATGCAATTTATTACATACCGTGGGGGGAAGCTGCACCGGTTGAAATTCTATAACTTGCCCACCTGTGCTTTTAACGTCCCTGTTCTCGAGTTCTTCCAAGGCGACCACCCCTAGCCCTGTAGCTCCACCTTCTGCCCAGTTCGCGCTGCCTTCAACTCTTCAATTATCTGCTTTTCTCCCACTGGGGCCGCGGGAGAAAGAAGGAGCAGTACCTAACACGGTAACTACAATCCACTCCGAGCTGCTGACCCGGTGCAGGACTTTGCAGTTAAATGTCGATTACTCGGTTGCTAGGGCCACTACGGAGGAGGCGGGCACTGTCCCTCACGGGCGTCGTTGCTCCGACAGCCGCCGAATGACTGCCAGCTTTTCCCACCCCGCGGAGTCGGCTGCAGGCAAAGGCCGGCTGGAAGAAAGCGCGGGAGCAGCGGATTGGATAAGAGCCATCTGATTTGCATAAGGCGTCCTAGTGGAGCCTCTAAAGCCGCATTTCTCAAGCTGAGCAACTTTAGGAGGCGTGGACTTCAACTCCCAGAATTCTCCAGCCGGGCTTAAAGTTGCTCAGCTTGAGAAGCACGGCTGGAAAGAGTCTGAAGGAGCAAAGCAGAGCGGGGTCGACGGTAGGTGATCGGATGCAAAAGAGAAAGAGCAGGATGTCTACGCTGTGGCTTTGGGTGGATGTGGGACGCTGATCCGGCTTTCTCCTTTGCTTCTGGTATCCTGGCGCATGTGTCCTTTCCCCATTTGCTCTCCATTCAGGGTACAGTAGTCTTTTTCATATGTACTTATTTCTGTGTCACTGAGTTACGTACCACGGAACTTTTGTCAAATTTACTCAGTAATGCCAACATGATATTATCATCTCTTACTAATGCTGTCACTGTATTTATTCTGCAGTTCTTTTCTTTGCCTGCACCTTCTCCGTCTCATTTCCCTCTGACTTGACTCCAGTAAATTCCTTGGCTGCCTGGCTAGTTCTGTTATACATGCATGACAAGTGAGGTTCACCATGATCCATCGCCTCTCCCTCATCGATGAAGGCTTATGTGATAATAAACTGGGGCTCTGTAGACAGAACATACTAAGCTGTAGTGACTGATTTCACCCCAACTGTCGGAGTTTACACCACAGACCGAACCAGCCTAGCAAATCCTTCGAATGCAGCCAAGGAGTCACAGCGCTCGAGTGGCTTTTACTGCAACAGGGACTTTTGCCAGGCTTTTAATCCATTTTAGTATTGCTTTTAATGAATGCTGTTGAATTGTGTATTCTGCATTTATTGTAATGCATAAAACCACCTTGAGTACTCAGCTGAATCAAGTAAATAAATAACCTCAATAGACTTCTCTAACATGCCTGTCGCTTGGCAAAAGTGTCCTGTATTAGGAGTAAAATAAAGAGCACTTAATTAGACACAGAGGGTTGGGTGAGGAAGGAGGCTCTGCGTCTAATGAATTTATAATGCACACATTGGGCTACAAATCATTGCAGTTGTTCTTGGTTTCAGCATGCAGAGGGTTTGGTGCAGCACAGAGCATAGTTGACTGAAGCAGCACTTCCTGGCCAATATCTCCTCCAGCTCAGTTGCTAATTAAATTGCAAGTGGGTTGGGAACTATGTGCCCAGCAAGAGCCAATCATTTGCTTTGCTCCTCTCACAGCAGCCAAGGGCCACAGTAAGTGAAAAATCACATGGTGACATCACTGACATGGGCAGGTAAAGAATTGTGGCTTAATTTTGTTCATTTGGAACAGGGAGGGAGGGCCTTCCTAATAGAAACATGCTGTTTTTCTGGCCAAAAAGTAAAAAAAAAAAAAAGCTATTTCCTGATTGTTTGCCATTAAAATTAGGGAGTCTAATTTCTGGGGAGGGTGGATAGTCTGGGGACTAAAAACATCAGCCTGGTGGTGGCTGATGGCCCATGGACTGTAGTGTACACTTCTGCATCTTGAGGATTCCTCCACTACAATATCACAGGGTGTCTGTCTCCTGCCCTTTTAACATGAAAATGGATCTTGCCAAGTGCCCCAAATGGCATGTCAGTGAAGTAACAGAAGACATAAAACATGTAGTAGAGTTACATATACACAACAGGTAACTGCACTCTTGCGGAACCTGGTACACCTGTGTGCCAGATCCAATTGCAAACACGAGTAAAAATCCTTCCTAACAGCTAAGTACATATAGCTCAAAGGAAATAAAATGTTGGGCACTTCCAGGTGTAACTCTAGAGAGCTGACTAGGCATTTTATCCAGTCCTTGGGATGTAAAGGCTGGCCACTGCCATCTAGAAGCTCTTGATGAAATGGAAGATTCATCTCAAGAGTTAAAAAAAAAAATGTGTAGCATGGTTGGAGAACAAAAAGAATCTGCTGGGAATCTTTTGTGCATGGATTCTAAAGGAGAGACTACATTAGTGAATTTTCTGTGTCTAAAAGAGGGTTTAAAACATTGAATACTTTTCATATACACAGTAAACACAACTAATGAGTCATGGTAAGCAATCTTTTTGGACTGGTAGGCTGTGGATGGCAACACTCACAAAAGAGTTATTTACTATAAGACATAAGATCTCCAGAAAGACAGTGTGGAAACAATGCTATCTGTTAAGGATCCTGTTGGCCCATTCCAAAGATACACTTTAGGTATGGTAAAATGGAGGGACATCAAAGGAAAGTGGGAAACAGGCAGGCTGCTCTGTAAAGCCACGTAGAATGTCTTGAGACCACTCGCCACCAAAGATGCTTCTGAGATCATGATTTAATCCTGAAGGAGTATGAAAATTTAATCAACTCCATTATGCATTAAGGTTCTTAATACTAGAGTGACATTCTGGACAGGTCCATTGTGATTAGGGTTGCATTGGATTTTAAGAGTAAGTCTGAGCTCACTTACCATGTTACATCAAAATGTAGTTGGCTTGTATGTGGTAGCTCATACTACAGTTTGCTCATCATGTTTTATGATTTAGTATCTTGTGTAAACCCAGCAAGTTGTTGGTTACTCTAATCATGGTTATATGCTGATTACTCTAATCATGGTTATATAATTTCATACTGTAAAAGTTTTTGTTCTTACCAATTACTGTACATACTGAGACTGTAGATTTATTTCAGTCTTAATGAGTTCCAGTAATTTAAAAAAATAAATAAATTATCTCCTCCTCCCTGGCAGAAGCTAAGATCCCATACAATCTCTTTTGCCAAGAGGACTTTCATATCTCATCTCAGTATATTCTTCTTTGTCTCCTCTTACTATGAGCATGCACTCAGTTGGGAAATGGTCAATTCCAATTCTTCTTTTATGAACTTTGCCCTTGTTCTTCTGATGGCCAGTGTGTAATACTGTCTGAAGTCCAAGGTCATATATCCTTACCTGTACATACTATCATTATGAGGCATAGGATTGATCAAACTAAACGTTTGCCAATATATAACACACTATTCTTCCCTTTATGCAATCTGCTGAATAAAGTGGTACTTATGAAATAACTTATCTGTTTAATATTCAGCTACAGGGTTTCTAGAAACCACACCGTTCCCCTTATGTGTGAACATATTAAGAAATCAGGCTACAACTATTTTAAGTGTGCTGCAGTAGTTGAAGGCTGCAAAGCTCTTGCTCTATTTCTTTCTGTGAATGTGACTAAACTGTTACTTCACAGAATCAATGTGTAGGGAAAAACAAATCAAAATTAATAGGGAAAAGGCTTGCCCCAGAAAAATGCCATTCACTTGTGATTAATAGCTCCAGAATGTAGATATCTATCCAGGCACATTCATATCCTCTTAAATTCTTTGCAGTGCGTAGATAAATACCCTAATTCAAATGCCTGCCTGATCATGTGTGTCACTTTTGATCTAGTAAATGCTATGGTTAAGAATAAGAGTGTTTTTGAATGCCCAGTTAGAGACTATTTGTTCCAGATAGTTAGATAACCCAATTTCTTCCACTTAGCCCTTTTCATATATTTCTATATATACTGGAATCCTATATATGCAAATCCTATTGATCTCTGTGGGGCTTATTACTGGGTGGACATATTCAAGTTCGAACTCTTAATTATGTTAACTTAAAAAACCATCACCCAGCAGGTTGAACTCTTTGGGTGTTATTTTAGACAAATAACTGGAGTGGTATGTGATGCATGAATATGCAGATCTGCATTTTATTACATGAGTGCAGAACAAGTCTTAGATTGGTGAATAAAGCTGATCCAATCTGAGTTAAATATAGGAAATAATTTGTAGCACTTTTGTTAAAAACAAAACAACCACTGAGTGTATAATCTAAATTATAATATTTTAAGGAATTATCACTAGCTACTTTTCTATCTAACTACTGAAATGTACTACTTGCCTTTGTTTTTCTTCATGTGGAACAATCACAAAAATAAACAAAAAAAGGAAATAGATATTTAAAGGGCATGAGAAATTTTTAGAATGCCATGGGTTGTTATCTCACTTTTTCCAGAACATGCACATACGTATTAATGGAGCAGTCTGAATCCAACAAATTGAACTGACAGATCCTTTAGCTGACTTGCATTTCTAAAGTTCCCCACATGCAACTCTCCCCACACAAATCCAGCACCACAGCAGCCTGTTCTCTGAAGGATTAAAACTACACTGAGGTGTGAAGCACACTGCCTGTATTCCCAGCTTCTTTGTGGTCTACTCAACAGGTCTGGGGCAGGAGCCAAAGAATGTCCAAAGAATGTGGCAGGATCACAGCACAGCCTGAGTTCAAGAAGTGGCACCAGGACCTTTTAATTTTTTGACGATACCCCTGATCTGGATGTGGAACAAATGCATACCTCTAACATCTAGACCAGTGTTATTCAGACTTGGCAACTTTAAGATGTGTGGACTTCAGCTCCCAGAATTCCCCAGCCAGCACCTTGTTACCTTGATAAAATTTGTACAAGGCAGGGTGTCTTAAAAGTAGTTTCTAATGCTGCCTCTACCAGGATTTTAATCACTAACCCTGTGGATTAGCTCCTGAATGCTATCAATTTCAGCATTTAATTCAATGAATATCTATAACTGACATATTTTTGCTTACATTTCTGCTATATGCATGAGAAATGAAAGACAAGATTTATATGCACAACAATGGAGGAATGATGATGTAAAGATGTCAGGATTGTCAGAAATGAAGAAAAACTGAGCTCTGTGGGTCAGGGGTAAAACAGTAAGTACCTTTTTAAAAGACTGGAAACCTTTTATGGACTTTTTGCTGAAAAGAAAAGTGAAGTGATTATGAATCTGATGATGGAATAAGGACTAAACAAGGGGCTGGAGGGATTTTTGTAATATTAATGAGGGAGGTTAGATAATAAGTTTGTTAATTTCTGTTGCAGAGAAAGTTAAGTCACTT